GCTTGAAAGACGCCCAAAATCTGAGCGAATGGAGTGTCTTACGGTCATCCAGAGCGATGACCCCGTTCTCGCCCAAACCTTCGAATCGCCCAGGATCTTAGCAAACATGAGATATTATGGTTATCCAAAACAACAGTTATTGAAGCAGTTATTGAGCAATCTTATCACACCCCACGATCCAAGGATCCCAATTGTAGGAGGTTGAACGACAAGAGTAATGGCAACAGTTAGGGACGGTAGTTCCACTACAAGTAAGCCATCATGAAGAAAGTGGGTAGTTATAGAGCAATCAAGCAGTTTCCAGACAGTTTGTCACAAAGAAATTATCAAGGGAATATAAAAAGGAAGAGAGGACATAGAGGAAAAGACCCCGAATGAAACATTCTCAACGGAGAATATGTAATTTCAATTTCTTAGTTTAACTTTAAAACACTTCTTTTAGTACTCACGTGCTTGCGCCCTTTGGAGGCATTCTGTTTATTTCCGATTGTAAATCTTTACCAATAAAGCACCCATTTTTGGGACTTTGACTCAAGAGGTCTATTCCTTACACAATCGTCTGAACCCTTTTTCAATTGTTAGCGACAACCCGCGCGAAACATGTATCAAAAAGGAGGAATAGCACTTAGTTGGATATGGTATGTTTTATAATGAGTTTATATCGGTTTACCCCTTCTAACATGCTCTGCTCGCCACAATTTATTTTTTGAATATGATCCTGCAAAGTTTGAATATCGTGCTCTATAAGGTATGCAAACAAAAAAGTCCTAAAAATGTTAAGATTTAAAGATATCCAACTTATGCTACAAATTGAAAGGAAAAAAAAAGGCGAGGTTGGAAAGGTATATAGTGTATGATATCTAAAGAGTCATTAGGATATTATTTCTATTTTCTGCAAGAACATAGAGTCGTTTGCAAGAACGCTATTATCTTGGATAAGTGTGTTTGAAAACAAGGGCTAGGAACAAAATATAAGTCAAAAAAAATTTCATTCAGCCAGAGTCTATAATACCAATGCCTGAGAACACAATAGATAATACACAATCTCTTAGGAGATCTTGTATGGTACAGATAAGGATTTCTTTAGAAGGATGTTGATAAAATCCAGGTTCCTACTATGAAATAACAACTGTAGAGATGATCTTACGAATCTGATCTCAACTTGAGCAAGAGCCTAACAAATGATTATACTAAGTCCATATTAATCATGGTACATTTAGACATCGAGGTATGTAGGTATACGAATATAGGATCCATCAACTTAAATTGAAAAAAGGAAAATATTTTATACAATAAAAGAGCAGATATGACTTGGAAATATTTTACCAAGATAGAAAGGAAATAGAAAGGGCACTAGTTTCTGTCGAAGCACAAGGCAAGGCACCTTTTTTTTTTTTTGGGAGGGGTGGGGGAATTAATCATCACTTATGGGATTTTATTAATAACCAACTTCAATTAAAACTTGAGGAGGTTTCCACGCACAAGCCTCTGAATAATTGGAAAGTTAATATTAAGCAAATGTTGTCAGAAAGGAGTTCTCATGATGCTAAAGCATTTAATATCACGTCATATGACAAAAGTGTAATAAACTTAATGAGTCACATATAATAAAAAAAATGAGAGCCTGAGATGAAGGGCGAAATCAAGATAGCAAGTTATTTCTGTCTAAATGGCTTAAAGATATCAATGTCCAAAAAGGTTTTAGAATCACAATAAGCATTGTTGAAAGGACTTCAAACGTCTAAACTTGGTCGAGCACGTGACTTTAGAGTTTGGACCGAAAGTATCAAGATGTTTGCAGGACCCCCTTCAAATCCCAAATCTGTATTGGAAGTAATTCCTACTATAAACACAAGCTACTTGGATACAAACTACGTATAGTTTAAATGTTAATAACTAGAACCTACATGTCTATCTATATGGAATTTTCCAAGAATTCAACAATTTTGCAAATTGTTTCCACGATAAGATTAAATTCATTTACAAAATTTCACGGTTCTATAATTCTGGACATATTTTTCCTGATCAATGTACAATAAAAAAAATAACAAAATCCTCTATGTTCAAAACCGAATTATTCATCCTTTTCGGTAGCCAACTCATTCACTTTTCACCAAAATTATAACAATGCTAATGGAATTTGGCAGAAAGCTTGCACGTTTCCATTGAATCGATAAGAGTATAACTGTACAAAGTACGGTGGACTTTAGTAAATTAAGATCCACAATTAAGTCTACCTATATATGATCAGTTACAATTTACAGCCCAACAAAAACTACGGGCACAGAATACTGCAAGAAACGTTTTGGACATTAATGTTCTGATTCTGTTTTCCTAATAAATTAGAAATCACTAATATAAATTCATGCTTCAGAAAATGAAAAATGTTCACAATAACATCCTCAAAAAGAACAAATTAAAGAAAAAAAAAAGAGGACCTGTTGGAAGCTCTTGACAGTCTTGCCAATACTGCGGCCAACTTCCGGCAGCTGCTTGGGCCCGAAAACAAGCGCAGCCACCCCAGCAATGACCACCAGCTCCGGCACCCCAAGCCCGAACAAACAGTTACAAGACAGCCCCTTTTTCTGATTCCTGCTAACTCTTCTCGACCCAACAAGAACCAGGCTCAGATTGGCACGGCCTTTGATATTGTTATTGAAGAATACAGAACTGGAAGAACCCAGAGGAGAAGTACCCACAAATGGTGTAAATCTTGTAGCTGGTGCAAGATTGAGTGCGGCAGATTGGATGGTCGCCATTTTCAGAATTTTTTAAAGCAGAAAAATGCAATCTTACGGCTTGCTTCTCCTTTGAAAGAGATTTTTTTTTTGCTTGCTCGTGTATTGTGTGTTTAATTTGGGAAAACGAAGTTGAGCATATCGAATGGTAATAGTGATGCTAGATTAGATTAAATGAGGGAAAATTACTATAGAGATCCTTAACTTCTATGTAAACTATAAATATGTTCTTAATCGCCTCTTTCTTTAAAAATTTAGACATCTTTTGCTACGCATAACATTTTAAGAAATGTATTTTTGGATAGATTCATCCAAAAGGATTTTCAAGCTACATATATGAAAAGTCGAATAATACTCATAAATAAAGAAGTTAACAAATGCAGTAAATGTGAATGATAATCCATCATCTTGATAGGTCAAAATCCATCGCTGAACGTTATAGAATTTTCATTTTCACCACAATTATTGTATTTGTCACTTGTAATCCCCCTACAATAGCAAGTGAACTTAACTACATCAGAGTCACTTACACCACACAAATGTCCCAATGTTGGCAAGATTTAAAGATTAGAGATTTATTTATACTTTCTGAAAAAGTTATGGATCCTTACCTCAATTCTCTCATAAAATAATCAATTGATTCTTTAGCCTACGTGACAGACTATAATAACCATAATCTTCATGTTTATTCCATTTAGATGCTGTTTGTTTCTCGTTCTTGTAAAACTTTTTTTTTTCTAAATACTCATTTTCAACCAAATTAACACAATAAAATATTTTAAATATAAACCCATTTTTTTTAACCACACATTTTCCTAAAATTTACTATTCAAATAATTTTTTTCCAAAAAATAACCACTGAACAGGGGCTTAATAAAGCGGGTCAAGTTACAAATTAACTCGAATAGTAACGGCTTGTTTCTCTTGGCTTTAGCTTAAAAATAATCAAACTTGCTTATCTCTTACAAACACTGCTACTGCTAGTACATACAAAAAAAAAAGGGGGCAAATATTTCAATGGCGACCAACATTAGTTCGAAATCAAACAAACACACAACTTTATGAAACTGGAAAAGCAGGCTTGAAAGATCAATATCAAAATCAAACTAATCTTATAAAACATTTAACATCCAAATTATAGTTTCAAAGATGAAGCAAGAGTTATTTGTTTCCATATGATATCATTACTCCTCCTCAAGATTGATGGAATCATTAAACTTGCCATACAAAATCTTCTTCAGTTCAGCCATCTGACCAAGTATGGATTCCTTCTCTTCAGTCAATTTCTCCAAGTTCTTTTCCGTAACCTCTTTCATCTGCTCGATCCTGTTCTCAACTTCATCTTTAGAGACGTGAGCAAAAACCTCCCCTATCTGGAAACGGACCATATCCTCATCAGTGAGAATCAACTCATTGCTTGCATCCTCGAGACTCTCATTTGTTTCCTGAACAAAATTCATTTAGTGTAAAAATGGGACACTGATTTAGAATGATACAACAAGGCGATAAAGTACCATTATGATTGGATACACATGGAATGCCGTGACAAATAAGTGATATTGTGAAGACTTCTCCCCGTGTAAATAATACCACCATAAACAATAATATAATGCGGGCATCCAATAAGTGTTTTTGCATGCTTATATCGAGCTAATATTGATGAAATGAGAGAATTTCTACTTACAATTGTGTAATTATGATTATTGTAGGTAAAAACAACCAATTGAAGGAGAACAAGGCAAAAGGAAGGAAAAATGACTAAAAGCGAACAAAAACATGAATTTGGGGACTAAAGTGCCGATAGTTGAAAGACCTTGGATGAAATTTATCAAGAGCAATTTTGAACTAGAAGTTAAAATTTGAGAACCAAAATATACAAGATCAAAGTTTATCCAATATTTGATCCGTGTGTGTTCAGTCACTTTAAATCATCACCTACACTCAAAAAAATTTGTAAAGAAGGAAAAATTTTCAAATTGGTTCCAAACTGACCCTTAGTGATCATTTCTTTCATTTCCCACTCGTGAGATTCACATCCCCAAATAGATACTTATTTTCTTTCCCGAGGTGTTAATCTAAAGGTTGCCCTCCAATCACTCTTTTCTTTTACCGCTATAAATTGATTGGGACTAACCGATAATGTCAACAATCTAGACATGCGATGATTCTCCTCAAAGTTGAGTGCTTCGACATTTAAACTTATACTAAGTAATTCAAACTCACTAGTTGTCTAAACCCCAAAATCAATAATAAATGCATGATTACTTGCTAATTTAGTGATTATAGCTTATGATTGACCTCACTCCCATAAGCTTTAAAAACCCATGTAGTGAGTTTTATGTCGATAACTCCTCGATTTTAAAGACCAAAGGATAATGGATTATGAGATACCTCTACGGACTTACTAACTCGAGTAAAAAGGCCACATAGTAGACATAAAATTTAACAAGTGCAATGCCCTTCTTGAGTAGATAAATAAATGGGGTTTAAGATCCCTGACATATGGCTATTACCGAGTTTATACTTTTTAATCAAAGACACTCCACACAAATATATTCAACGTGAACGAAATCAACACATTTTTAGATAATATCCTTCACCTGCTTAACCACCCCCAAACTTATCTTGTAATAGGATTAAGTGATAGAAAATAAAATGTGGGTTAATAGAAATTTATACACAAATCACAACCTAGTTCTACCAATTCAAAAATTCTTTCCATCCATCAATAATTTTCACACCAAGATAACAATTTGTTATGACTATCGCGTGTAGAATAGCTTAAGATCTTACATGTATAAGCAATTTTTCAAAAAGAAAGTTAAGCACACATAACATATTTAGTCATGGCTTATGAATCAAAAACAATTTTAAGCATCAAACCATCCTAAATCGACAAGGCTATCAAACATGTCAAAACAAAATCACCCAGAAATAACCACAATAAATCATCACCCCCCAAACTTGAACTACATATGGTCCTCAATGTGTAAAAGAACAATATTGTTAGGAATATTGGGCCTAACTCCATCTAATAAAATCGG